GGTTATGTATATATATGTATATGTATATGTATATGTATATGTATATCTATATGTATATGTACATATATATATGTTTATGTTTATGTATATGTATATGTATATGTATATGTATATGTACATGTATTTGTATATGTACATGTATATGTACATGTATATGCATCTGTCTAGGTATATGCATATATATGCATATGTATATGTATAAGTATATATGTATGCATATGCATATATATATATATATATATATATATATATATATGGGTACCCCCCCAGGACCCTGCAGGGTTTCTCGTCGTTTTATTTTCTCGTGTGCACCGCTGTCGAGATTGAACCTAATCAGCGCTAGCGCCCACATTGTATAATGGGAGCTTGCATGCTGCACCGTTGAGAACAATCGGAAACGAAACGGCGCGTGCGACTCGTCGCGGGCACGGGCAAGGTAGAACTCATGTCGCGCTAGCACTCGCACTGCACAAGGGTGCCCGCGCGATGCACGATGGGAGCGTCAGTTGAAACGAAACGGCACACACGATCCGCCGTGGGCATCGGCAAACGCTTTCATCGCCATTGCCATCGAACTTCCTGGGTTAACATAGTGGGCATACTCAGCAAGGTCGGGCAGTGACATCAGCTGCTCATCCGCACAAGGTGCACCGTGCTAATCTGCAGCGCCAACTGCATCGCTGGCCACTGCGTTGAGCACGGGCATCTTGCTATAGCGAGCCCGCAACCACATCTTCATGCGAGAGTTCTCACTCTCAGTGTCGTTGCTGTGGAAGCCCGTGGATCGATCCCGCCACCCTGTGCAATGGTCCACCGGCGGAGCGTAGCGCGGTTGCCTGGAACCAACCTCTCATTGATATGACATGGTGGAAACAATGTAAAATCAAATTTTCCAATTTTTCCAAGTCTCTGGGTACGAACCCTCGCTGATGCGGCAGGTGGGGATGTTCCAATTCTCGAACCCTCGTTGGTGCGACAGAGAGGAAACGCTGTAAAATCCAATTTTCCAATTTTTCCAATTCTCAGGCGCCGAACCTCGCTTGCGCGACGGAGGAAAACATTGCAAATCCAATTTTTCCCAATTTTCCAATTCTGTGGCGCTGAACCGCTTGCAACATCGATGAGGATTCAGTCTGAGAGAATTGGAAAAGTTGGAAAATGAGATTTCACAGTGTTTTCTTTCTGCCGTACCTGCGAGGGATCGGCGCTTGAGAATTGGAGAATTTTTTAAAAATGGATTTTACAGCGGATTTGCCAATCCAGATGCCATTGATATGACATTGTGGAAACACTGTAAAATCCAATTGTTCCGATGTTTCCAATTCTCTGGGTACGAACCCTCGCTGATGCGGCAGACGGGGATGTTCCAAGTCTCGAACCCTCGTTGGTGCGGCACAATGAATACAGTATGAAATCCAAGTTTCCCATTTTTCCAATTCTCAGGCGCCGAACCTCGCTGGTGCGGCGGGGGAAAACATTGCAACACCCAACTTTCCAAATTTTCCAATTCTGTGGCGCTGAACCGCTTGCAACATCGATGAGGATTCAGTCTGAGAGAAAGGGAAAATGTGAACAATTGGATTTCACAATGTTTTCTTTCTGCCGTACCTGCGAGGGTTCGGCGCCTGAGCATTGGAAAATTGAAAACATTGGATTTTACAGCGGATTGGCAAATCCAGAACCGACGCCTTTGGGAGGAGGAGGAACCCTGCTACTACTACAACTGGTCCTCCTCCTCCTCCTCCTCTTCCTCCTCCTCCTCCCAAAGGTGTCGGTTCTGGATTGGCCACTCCGCTGTAAAATTAATTTTTTTCAACTTTCCAATTCTCAGGCGCCGAACCCTCGCAGGTACGGCAGAAAGAAAACACTGTGAACTCTCATTTTTCCAATTTTCCAAATTCTCTCAGACTGAATCCTCATCGATGTTGCAAGCGGTTCAGCGCCACAGAATTGGAAAATTTGGAAAGTTGGATGTTGCAATGTTTTCCTCCGCCGCACCAGCGAGGTTCGGCGCCTGAGAATTGGAAAAATGGGAAACTTGGATTTCATACTGTATTCATTGTGCCGCACCAACGAGGGTTCGAGAATTGGAACATCCCCGTCTGCCGCATCAGCGAGGGTTCGTACCCAGAGACTTGGAAACATCGGAAAATTGGATTTTACAGCGTTTTCACCATATCATATCAATGTGTTCTGGATTTGCCATTTTTTTTTTTTTTTTTTTTTTTGTTTCCTTCATTTTTTTACATATTTATATATAAAAATGAAAGTCAGGCGCCGAACCCTCGCAGGTACGGCAGAAAGAAAACACAGTGAACTCTGATTTTCCAATTTGTCCAATTCTTTCAGACTGAATCCTCATCGATGTTGCAAGCGGTTCAGCGCCACAGAATTGGAAAATTTGGAAAGTTGGATTCTGCAATATTTTCCTCCGCCGCGCCAGCGAGGTTCGGCGCCTGAGAATTGGAAAAATTGGAAACATTGGATTTCACAGTGTTTTCTTTTTGCCGCACCAACGAGGGTTCGAGAATTGGAACATCCCCATCTGCCGCATCAACGAGGGTTCGTACCCAGAGAATTGGAAAAATCTGAAAAATTGGATTTTACAGTGTTTCCACAATGTCATATCAATGAGAGGTCGGTTCCAGACAACCGCCGTGCTGTCTGGAAGCAGTGCTCACGGAAGCTACACACAAGGGCCGCCGACGAAACCCATTCAAGCTTACACCCGCCCAAGATGATATGTAAGAAAAGTGTGCAGGGTCCTTGGGGGGAACCCATATATATACATATATATATATATATATATATATATATATATAGTCTGACCCTCGCTGTATTGATGCAGGGTCTCGGATGGGCCCTCTTCGGGGTCTCTCGAGGCCGTTGTCAGGCCGTCTTGGGGGCCTTCTGGGTCGTCTCGGGGCTCTCTGGGACCGTCTTGGTCCCTCAGGGCAATCTTGGGGGCCCCTTGGGGCTGTTTTGGGGCGGCCTGGGGGCCCAAATGGGCCGTCTTAAGTTCCACTTGGGCCGCTGGAACCCCTCCAGGAGCCCTCTTGGGGCGTCTTGGGGCTATCTTGGGCCCCTCTCGGGCCTTGCTGGGCTCGTCTTGGGGTCCTCTTGTGCGCCTCTCGGGCCCGCTCGGAACGACCTCGGGGGCCTCTTCGGCTGTCGAACGCTCTGGAGACCGAGGTGCCGAGTATGCGAAGATGTCACCGAGATTTGAGGACAACCCATCACTTGTGCCTCCAAAGGGCCTCTTGGGAGTCGTTTTCGGGCCTCCTGGGGTCATCTGGGGAGCCCGTTGGGCCGTCGAGTGCCCATCTTGGGCTCATCGTGGCCGTCTTGGAGCGCTCGTCGGGCCCTCCTGAGGCCTCCTGGAGTCCTCCGGGGCCGTCTTGGGGACATTCGGGGCCGTCTGAGGCCCTCCTGGGGCGCTTGCGAACCGGCCTCCCCGGCCGCATCCGAAGTTTTGCCATATCAGTTCTCAATGTATATACGTGTGCATCGCTTCCGTATAATTGGAGGTACGTGAGTACATACATACATTCATACATACATGCATACATAGATACATACATATACACATACATACATACATGCATGCATGCATGCATGCATACATACATACATAGACACATGCATACATACCGACAGACATACATTCATACATGCATACATACATACATGCATACCTATATATACATACAGACACATACATACATACTACTTACATACATGCTGCCACGCATGCATGCATGCATACATCATGCAAACATACAGCATACACACGTAATCCATACACGCATACATACATGCACACAGTCATGCATATATACATACGTACCAGCATACATGCACACACATGCATACATACATACAAACATACATGCATGCATGCACCCATACACACATATATATATATACACGTATATGCACTGACATCCATACAGACAGGTATGTACTCACATGCATGCAAGCATATCTAATTACATGCATACATACATACATCCATACACACATACATACACACGTTCGTACCCACATATACACATACACACATACATACATACATACATACATACATGCATACATACGTGCATACGTACACACCTACATATATCCATATACACATGTGCGTTCGCGTAGGCATACATATGTACATATATATAATCATGGTTATATGCATGTATGTATGCATGTATGTACGTACGTATGTATGTGTTGACATGTATATATATGTATACGTGTATATATATATATGGATGTATGTACGTCCGCACATACGTAGGTATGGCTGTATGTACGTACGTGTGTATGTAAATATGTATGTACGTACGTAAGTCTGTCGGTCTGTATGCATGTTTGTATATGCCAATTTGTTGAAATCGATGGCCTCCGTGCCCAGCCAAGGCTATCCAGGGCCTTGTGGTGCTGGATGCGTCCTCCTGGCTTCGGCCAGACTGCCAGGGTGAAGGGAAGCCCCCGCCAGGCACGGCGGTGGTGCATGGATGCACTCTGCGTGTCGAGGGCGCGCGCGCGTGGAATCTCCATCGTGGCGTTGACGGGCCCCAGAGGGCCCAAGAGGACTCGACGAGCGCTCTCCAGAGGGCTCCAAGAGGCACAAACCATTGATTTCCTTGGAGTTCTTCCATGTCTTCGGGGTCCTCGGTCCTTCGAGCTTCCGGCGCCCCACGACGTCCCAAGCGGCCCCAGACCGCCCCAAGACAGGCCAAGAGGCCCCTCGGACTGCTCCCAAGAGCCGGGCAGGTCGACGATACCCTCCTCTCCCCTCCGGAGGAGGACAGCGATACAGATCCACCTGGCTCACCCCCCTTCCCCCTCCGAGGAGGAAGAGGGGGGGAGGGGGGGAGGAAGCTGGCTGACCTGCTGCTCGATTCCCTCTCCTGCTAACCCCCCTTTTTTCCATCGCAAACTCCGTCCAGCGGTGTCCCTGCCGGCCCCCGTCGGCGAGCCCCCCGGTGACCCGCGCCGCCACCATGGCGGACTCGCTGCTGGCGCCCGCGCTGATTTCCTGTACGCCGCGGCACGCCAGTGCTCCTGCTCCTCCTCCGTCGCCCGTGGCAGTGGTCGCCCACAAGGTCCTCGTCTTCCTCCCCTTAGTTCTGGACGCCCGAAATGGGTACGGAAAGAATGGGTACAATGCCCAACAGCAGTTCTTGTTCATTTTGAACAGGATTCGCTGTCCACGCCGCCGCGGCCTGTGTCCATTCGAGACAGAAGGCCGCCTGCCCAACAGCGGCCGCTGTTGGTTTGGGACAACATTTGTTGTTGGGCATTGTACCCTTTTTTTCCGTACCCATTTCGGGCGTCCAAATTAGTGGCTCAAAGATGGGGTCCCGAGGGATGGGGACGTCAGGGTAGAAAGGGATCTAGGGTTGGATGTACGTTGTTTGAGGCACCTCGCCCTCAGGACACCATCCCTCAGGCCGCTCCTCCTTCGGCACTACCGAGCTGGGCACGGAAAACCTAGGCACGAGGACCGACCGCAGCGAGTGTCCATGTCGGACAGAGCTCGCCGTCGGCGCCGCCGCGGGCGCTGCCCCTCTGAGACATGAGGCCGCCGGCCCACCAGCGGCCGCGGTCGGCTCTCGACGACCCTTGTTGTTGGGCAGCGTGCCCCTGTTCTCCGCACCCCTTTCGGGCCTCCAAGCTCCTGCCCCTCCTCCTCTCCTCCCTCCTCCCTCCTCCCTCCTCCCTCTTCCCTCCTCGCTCCTGCCCCTCCTCCCCTCCCTTCCCTCAGGGGATCGCGGCGGGGACGGAACGACTGGGCTCCGGCCCCCTTCGCGCAGGACCCGCTGTGGGAGTGGCCGCGGGCGGCGTCGCCTGCCCAGCAGCGGCCGCGGTCGGCTTTGGACGAAGCTTGCGGTCGGGCATCGCCCTCATTGACGAAGACGCCTACGGCCAGGCACCCGCCCCCTGCCTTCTTTCGGCGTCGCCCCAACATACTAATACTATGTGTTCGTCGCCCCCCCGTGGCGACGCGCGCACCGAGAAATCTTATAGTATATGCGTCGTGGCGGGCGCTTTCTGGCCACACCGCTCGGGAAACGACATTCTGCAATATGGGTGTACTATATGTTCGGGTCGGACGCGCGCCTCCAAGGAGGACACATAGTACTAGTATGTCTCTGCGCGTCCCATTCTAGGGGACGCCAATAGAGCCCAACGTTTGGGCAAAGTTTAACACCGCGCTATTTGGCCATGCGTTCCCCCCGCCGTTGTGGAAGCCGTTTGGAGAGCACGTGGGGGAGGAAGGGGAGGATGAGGCGAGGGAGGAAACAGGAGGATGAGAAGGAGGGATGATGAGGCCTCTTGGCAGCTTCTTGGGCCATTCTTAGGACTTCCTGGGAGCTTCCTGGGGGCCTCTTGAAGACCTCTTGGGGGCCTCCTTCGACTTCTTGAGAACCTTTTAGGGGTCCTTGCGGGCTTCTTCGGCCGTCTTAGGGCGTTCCTGGCCCGTCTGACGCCGTCGGATGCCGTCTTGGGGGCCTCTCTGAACCGACTTGGGGCTTTCTTGCGGCGCTTCAAGGTCGTCTTGTGTGTGGGCCATCATGGGCGTCTTGGAGGCCTCTGGGGCCGTCTTAATTCCCTCCTGGGCCGTCTTGGAGCTTGGGGTGTCATGGTGTCATCTTGGAGGCCTTTGGGGCCATCTTGGGGCGATCTTGGGGCCGTCTTGGGCCGTCTTTGGCCGGCGGCAGGCCGAAGAGAAGCAAATGGCAACATTCTTCAAAACTCATGGAAAATCAGCGATTTGGGCCTCTCCGGACCCTCCTGGAGGACCTCTTGGATGCCTCTTGAGCCGTCTTGAAGTCCTCTTGGGGTACCCCTTTAAACACAATGCACTCCGATATTTGGCAAAAGCACGCCGAGCTGCGTTCAGTCTGATGGCCATCTCGGCATCCTGGAAGTTCCTCAATGAAACAAGTCTGCCCATATATTTCTCAGCGGCATCTAGCGGCAAAACAGCGACGTCGTCCATCCCCACCATGACAAAGTCCACCCCTGTCTGCTCGCAGTTCGTGAGGATCTTCGTTTTGCCCAGGTGAGACCATATACCGAAGCCTCCTTCTTCAGGTCGGCCAGCATTTTGCGGGCATCGGCATTGATCTGCGCGAGCATCAGCACGTCGTCGGCGAAACGAAGGCTCGTGAGCGGTTCCTCTGGGTCATGGATGACGAAGCCGTGGTACTGCTGTGTGCGCCGTTTGTTGAGAGAATGCCATCCTTCCTTCAGCTTCCTGAAACACGACTCCATAACGGCAATGAAGAGCAGCGCACTGACAGGGTCGCCATGTTTGATTTCCCGCGCCAAACAAAAAATCCGAGATTCGACTCTGGTAGAGACAAGAGCTAACTGATTCGGGTACAACTTATACAACAAGGCAATGTAGGGCACATCGCCGCCGAAATCGCAGAGAACTCTCCTCAGCGCGTTGTGCTCCACTGTGTCGAAGGCCTTTTCGAAGTCTACGAGGCACAGCCATGCGCATTGGTTCTATTCCTTGCACTTCTCCAGAAGTAAAATTAGCGAGAGTAAGCTGTCCTCAGTCGAGTACCCCTCGGGCGGCAGTTTCGACATGGGGACAGGCTGGACACGGTCGCAGACCATTCTGGCGAACAGCTGGTACAAAATTGGTAATGTTGCGATCGGCCTATACTTCTGGTGCAGCTCGGGGTCGCCCTTCCTGAAGATGACGACCAATCTTGATTGCCTCCAAGCTTCAGGCGGCTCACTTTCTGGCCAGAGCACCTCGTTGAACAGCTGCAAGACACGATCATGCAAGATATCGCTCCCGTTCTTCAGCATTTCCGCCATTACTCCCGACCTATCATTCCATTTCCCATTCTTCATCGTCTTTAAGGGTCGCTTCAGCTCTTCTCGCGTGAAAGGCTGCACAGTAGCTGACGACGACGGGACAGGCTCGCTGTGGGCTCCTTGGCTTGCGTACAAGTCTTCGTATGACTGAGCAAACACACCGGCGATGTTTTCCTTCGTGTCCTGTGCCGCCTCGTATTTGTCAATCGCTCTCGAAATGTGTTGCCGCTTTGAAGCTGACTACATCAGGCCTATCTCCTCGATGCCACGAACATCCGATATAATGGCATTGATTTTGTCAGCACGCCGTTCCACTTGCGATTCCCGCTATCAAATTCTTGATCTGCTTGCCGAGGACTGTGCGCTGCGCCTGTTTTCCCTGCTCGGGCAAGTCCTCTCGCCGCTTGAGCCCGCGGCGGTCACTGATGAGTTCTCGGATTTCAGAATCAATCCGTGTAGGGTGCCGCTGGTTTTAAGTCGGACCTGATCCTGTACAGGAGGAATGTTCAAAAATAGTCAAAATATAGCCTGGGGGCGATTTTTTTTGTATTTTTGACAATTTGGGAGTATGTGTTGAGTATTCCTCTCGCTTCGCAGGGTGCACGTCCGGAGCACGTACAGTCACGTCGCCGCGGGGCCTCTTGGGAGCCTTTTTGGGGGCTTCTTGGAGGCCTCCTGGGAGTTTCTTTTGGCCTTTTGGGGGCTTCTTTGGGGGTTTTCCCCCCTCCCTCCTTTTCATACACCCTTCCCATCTTCCCTTCCATCGCCGGCTCCAATCATGGGCGCCGCAGTGACCAACTTCCACCTGGCTGGCGCTGCGCCGCAGTTCGCCCAGAGGGGGGGAAATAACATTACACACCAGTCGCCGTGTGGCCTTTGGGGGGCTTGTTGGAGGCCTTTGGGAGGCTTCTGGGGGACTTCTTGGAGGCTTGTTGGGGGCCTCTTCTTGGGGCCTCTTGGGGGCGTCTTGGGCCGTCTTGGGGCGCTTTTGCGCCGTTTCGCCCCGTCGGAGGCTGTCTTGGGGGCCTCTCGCGGCCGCATTGGAGCCCCCTTGTGGTCCTCTTTGGCCGTCTTCGCTGCCTCTTGGACCGTCTTGGGGGCCTCTTTGGGTCGTTTTGGGGCCCTCTTGGGCCGTCTTGGGGCCCTCGTGGGGGCTTTTTGGGCCGTTCTGGGAAGCCGAAAAAGACGAGAACGCTAAAATATGGCAAGAACCATCGGAACATCAATGATTTCGGCCTCTGGAGGCGCAGTTATGGGCGCTCTTGGGTCCTGTTGGGCCGTCCTTGGAGCTTTTGGGGCCCTCTTGGGGCCGCCTTGGGGGCCTCATGGGCCCCCGTTGGGTATATCTTGGGCCGTCTTGGGCCGTCTTAGGGCCATCTTGAGGCCCTCTTGGAGCCCCAAGAGGCCCAAGAGGCCGAATATGTGTTGAGTATTTTTTATTCTTTGGCTTACGCCGCACCGCCGACCCCGTGGGACTCCTGGTAGGTCTCTCGGGGGCCTCCTGGCAGCACTTTGAAGCCTTTTGGGTGCCGTTTTGGGGCCGCTTTTGGGCCTCTGGTGGGCCTCTTGGAGCCTCTTGGGTGCTTCTTGGGGGCTTCTTGGGGCCTCCTGGAGGCTTCTTGGGGCCGAGGGCTTGCAATTTCCGTTCGGGTTCCCTGCCTGGGCCCCCTCCTGGAGCCGTCTTGGGCATCTCTTGGGCCGGTTTGGGGCCCTCTTGGGCCTTCTTGGGGCCTTCTTGGAGGCTTCCTGGGCCGGGTTAGAGCCTTCTTGGGTCATGGTTCTGGGTTAGAGGCTTCTTGCATGTGTATCGGGATCTCGCGCCACGCTTCTCGGGGGCCTCTGGAAGGCAGTTTTGAAGCCACTTGGGAGCCGTTTCGGAGCTTCTGGGGGTCTTTTGGGGGCCTCCTGGGGGCCTCTTGGGGGCTCCTTGGGGCGTCTTGGGGGCCTCTTGGGAGCCTCTGGCGGCCTCTTGGGGCACTCTTGGGGCCCCCTGGGGCTCCAGGGGGCGGAAAGCTAGATGTTTTGAGTGTTTGGTCGCCCTCTGGGGCCCCTCTTGGTGCCGTCTTGGGGCCCTCTTGGGCCGTCTTGGGGACCTCTTGGGCCGTCTTGGGGCCGTCTCGGGGGCCTCTTGGGCCGTCTTGGGGCTGTCTTCGGGGCCTCTTGGGCCGTCTTGGAACGTCGGGAAGCCGAAAAGGCGAAAAGGCAAAAGGCAAAAGACAGAGAAAAACACAATGGAAAATCAACAAGTTTAGCCTCTCGGGGCCCTCTTGGGAGGCTTGTTTGGGACCTCTGGGGCCGTCTTGGAGGCCTCTTGGCCCGTCTTGGGGCCATCTTGGGCGTCTTGGAGCGCTCGTTTAGCGTCCCGGGGCCCTCGTGGGCCGTCTTGGAACCCTCTTGGGGCCTTCGTGGTCCGTCTTTAAGCCCTCTTGGGCCCGGAAGAGTGCGTGACGCGCTCGTCGGGCCTCCCCCCCTCCAAATCGACTGGACCGGGCTCCCGGGGGAGGGGTTTGGGGAGGGGGGAGCATCTCACACGCCGATGATCCCCAAGGGGTCGGCGGATTTTTCGTCCCGAATTCCCCTGTAGGGGGACACGCCCGACTTAACGCTGGTTCCGCTTCTTGGTTGTCGCCAACTTTGCGCACCTCGGCATTTCAGATTCGAGTATGTTCGCCAAGGCTGCCGGGCAGATTTCCCATCTCTCTCGTGCCGCCATTGTTTCCTCGATTGTTGTTCTGTATTTGATCGTGTCAACATTGGGCCCCCAAGGCGGCACTGTTCTCATACACTGGCACGGGCGACTGCTCAGTGGTCAGAACCTGTGTCGATGTCCCTGTCCGCGCTGCAGGTGACGACGTGTTCTCTCCGTATCCTGCGCAACAGTATGTATTCCAACTGCGGGTATGTAAGTGAAAACGTTCAGAGATTGTCTCTCTGCAAGTTGGCAAGAGTGCTTTCAAACACTAGGCCTTTCAGCAGGCACCACTTCACCAAACGCTCTGCGCGAGTGCTTCGCACGCCCACGAGGTTGAGCCTAATCACATCATGCTCGTTATCTTCACAAAACCTCGGACCGACCTGCTTGAAAGTCCCCAGCCACGATCACGTTGTTACAATTTCCAACAAGCTCGTCCAGAGTGTCGAACACAGCATCGACTTCGTCGTCGTGGCGTTCTGCGTGTGGTATGTGCACGCCGACAGTGCGGACGGGAACTTCTGCGATGCTCATTTTCAGCGACGCGGCATTGTCAGAGGCTGCAGCGAAAGACACGTACGACCAACGTTTGTTTTCAGTCGGGGCCCTGAAGAAGGAACCCCTTCCGTTGGGGAGGGGCTCCGCGCACCTTGATTGTTTCGCGGCTTGCCTTAGATGTTCCTTAGGTTTTCGATGCGACATCGAAGTTCAACTCATGGAAGATAGGGGCCCGCGTTCCTTATTTGGGGCTCCGTAGGTCAACGCCTGGACTGTAGGAGCATCCCAACTCCACCGGATCTCCTGGCCCCCCCCCGGGGGCTCCCAGCCGGGCGTGGCCATCTTCCAGTCGTGAAGGGTCTCTCGACGCTCTGCCCTCCGCACGTGTCCGAGACCGCGAGGACGCCCCGCTCCCGATGGCCAAGCCAAGGTCGAACACGACGGCGTCAAGCCTCCTCCTCCTCCTCCTCCTGCTCCTCCTCCTCCTCCTCCTCCTCCTCCTCCCGAATCCTCCTCATGGCGGGGAGCAGACCCCAGGAGCCCACGACCATCAACATTCATAACAGACTGGGTATTGTAAGAAGCGCGAAGCGGAAAAGCGAGACGCCACATGCACTTGCCACCGAATCCGTGACGCATGCATTTGCCTTGATATGTGAGCTCAAGTTGTTTGTGTTGGGCCTGGCAGGCGGTGTGGAGAGTACATGTGGTGCGTCGCGGTCGTCCCCTTCCTCGTCCCTCCTCCTTCTTCTCCCAAAATAGTCCACTGGAAAAAAAAGAGTGGGTATTGTAAGAACTCGCAACGGAATCGAAGGGTTCTACGAGCGGTGGCACGGGCAAGGCATCCTCCTTCTCCGGGGTACAAAGCGCGCGACTGGTCGCGCTCCTCCGACGGGTACTGAACGCACTTGGGTCTGCAATGTGCGTTTCCTAGCTCCCGAGAGCCTCGGCGACGGCATCTTCGAGCGAAGTGGCCGTCACGTTGCTGCCGCACTCTTGCATCTTCTCCTCGTTCAGGTGCACCCAGCCCTCCTCATCCTTCCCTGCCTTCCACTCCCCGATTGGGACCCGGTCGATGAAGATGAAGCCTCTCCTGTAGTCGACCTTCACGCTGTCTGCCGTGGCGAAGCCCACCTCGATAAGTGTACGTCTGTACTTCCCCAATCTCTTCCCACGCATGTGGTCTTCCGGGCTCCGGCTCGCCGAGACCCACAAGTTCTTCCCCTGCACGCTGTGTTTGGGTGTCCCGCTGAGGCTTTTGAGGTACTCGAGCATGTACTTCGGCGTCTCAAAGCGTATGAAGCCTATTTTGCCAAATTGGTACGCGTAAACCTCCTCTATGCTTTCCGCATCCTTCAACACGTTCGTTTCGATGTAGTTGGTCATGTACTTTCTTCTGGCCCCCGACGACGACGGTGCGGGAGAATGTGTCTTTGTCTTTATGTTCGGCTGTTTTCTGTTTTTTCTTCTTGCCATTTGTGTTGAGGGGTGCCTTCATAATGTCTTTGATGAGCTTTTCTACGCCCTCCTTGGTAATGTAGTTATCGCTCATCACGTGGATCTGCTCTTCGACTTTCTCATCACGTAGTTGTTGCTCATCACGTGGATCGCTGGTGACTTTCTCCATGGCTTCCTCCGCCACCGCATGCGTCATGCCAGTCTGGAGCTTGACTTGCGCAATCTCGTCTTTCACTTCTTTCAGGTTGCCCTGGAGGCCCTTGACCATGTCTGCGAGCTGATTCAAAATCTTCCCCTGGTTGATCGCCCAAGCAGGCGCCTGCTCCACTTCGTCCTTACTTCTCGCTCCCTCCCCGTCCTCTTCCACATTCACCACCTCCTCCATGACTGTCTCGTCAACCTTCGACCGTTAGGCTTCGGGGGCGGACTGGAGACCACCAAAGCTCTTAAAGCGTCCATGGAATGAGATCGCTCGAAGCCTTCGGAGAAGTATGCACTTGCTTTGAAGCCCAGATTGGAGCCAGGATGGCGAAACGACCCAGGAGAGCTTCCGAATGGCCCCTGGGGGACCCCCAAAGCGCCCCGAGGGGCCCCCGAAGAGCGCCCGAAGAGGCCCCCGGGACTGCACAAGAGGGCCCCAAGACGGCCCACGACATCCCACGATGGCGCCAAGATGGCCTGAGAGAGCCCACACAGAACCCTAAGACCCCAGTGGCCCCCAAGGGGGCCCCGACAAACTTCGAAAATGCACCGAGGATGCCCAATGATATCCCCAGACGGCCCCAACAGCCACCAGGGTAGCCTCAAACGATCCCGCCCTCTTCTTCGGCGGCCTTTTCGTCGGGCTCCTTACCGTCCTTCGTCGTCGTCGTCCTTCTTCTTCTCATTCTTATTATTTTCCTCCTCGTCCGCTTCGTTTCTCCTCCTACTCGTCCTCCTCCATCCTCTTCCTCCTCGTCTTCTCGGATGTCTGCCTGCTCGTTGTCCTTCTGCTCCCCTCGCTTGCCTCCCCGTCATCCAGGCTGCCATCCTCGACATCCGCCGCTTTTTCGTCGTCATTGCCCTTTTCTTCTTTTTCCCCTACGAGCCCAATGGACAAAATCGGCGCTTCCCGTTGTTGTCCGATCAGGGTGCCTTCCTCTTGTGGGGCGTGCCAATCCTCCGGCTCCTCGAGCTGTCCTTCGCAGAACGCCCCTGGGCCCAGGCTCCTTTGCCACGAGGTGTCTCTCGAGCGAGAGGGGTGAACCACATACCACCAGGGGACCCTCCTTGGCCCCTTGCGCTGGTGCTGGTGGTCGTGTGAAGTCGGGCGTGTCCCTCCACAGGAGGAATATTCAAACATCGGCAAGAAATAGCAAGGGGAGGATGTTTTGAGTATTTTTCTGCATTTGGGAGTATATGTTTAAATCTACTATGTCTTTTTTTTCGTCCAAAATCCGCCTGTAGGGGGACATGCCCGACCTAAGGGTGGTGGTGTCGCTTCTCCTTGCTCCTTCCCGCTCTCCCCGCCGCTCCGCCCCCCTCTTCCCTGCCTCCGCCTCGCGCCTCCTCTGCCGACTGGCCCCTACAGGCCCGGCGTGCGCCGCTCCGTGCCCCTTTTTGTGATGTTCCAACCTACTTCAGCCTTGCCCACCAGAAAGAATGTCGAGCACCAAGATAGTAGCGAAACTTGAGGGCTTGCAAGCGTCGGGCCCTGGGGGGCGGTGCTCGTTCGACACTGTTTCGATACTTCTTCTGGGTGCTCGAAATCATTTCTGGGATGTGGTCCTTGAGCACGGTGGGTGCAACATGATACCGAAACAGAAACCCAACCAAAGTCTTTTCAGGGCTGTAGGGCTATGGGGCCATTGGGCCATAGGGCTATTGGGCTATGGGGCTATATGGCTATGGGGCTAATGGGCTATAGGCTCATAGGGCTATGTGTTGATATGGCTATTGGGCTATAGGGCTATAGATCCATAGGGCTATAGGGCTATGGAGCTCTTGGGCTGTGGGTCTATATGGCAATTGGGCTCATATGGCCATAGGGTTATGAGTCTATAGGTTATGGGGCTATAGGGCTATATGACCATAGGGCAACAGGGATATAGGGCTATGGGGCTGTAGGGCTATGAGGCTATAGGCATATACAGCTATAGGGCTATAGGGCTATATGGCTATTTGGCTATAGGGCTATAGGGCCATTGGGCTATTGGCCTACAGGGCTATAGGGCTCTTGGGCTATTGGCCTATAAGGCTATAGGGCTATGGGGCTATAAGGCTATAAGGCTATAGGGCTATAGGGCTATAAGGCTTTAGGGCTAGGGCTATCGGGTCTTATAGCTATGGGGCTCTAGGTCTCTGGGGCTATAGGGCTATAAGGCTCTAAGGCTAAGGCTATAGGCTAGCGGCTATAGGGCTATAGGGCTATAGGGCTATTGGGCTATAAGGCTATAGGGCTATTGTGCTATAGGAGAGCTTTAGGGCTATAAGGCTATCTGGCTATGGGGCTATAGGGCTATAGGGCTGTAGGGATATAAGGCTATAGGGCTATCAGCACCCGGGCACCCGGGCACTTGGGCACCTGCAGGGCACCCGGGCTCCCGGGCGGGCCGCAGAAGTCGGTGGCAAACCTCACCGAACCATATGAATCCGCTAGGACCCCTACAGTCTGTAGGGGACCCCCCAGTCAGGGCTTGCCTCTGCGAGGCAAGCTCTGATTGGGGAATCAGTGCCCCCCCCAGGTCTCAACGCCCAGCCTGGCTCGTTGTGGGGGTCCTTCGCCTGGAAAGCCCTGCGCCCACAAGATGCCGCCGCTGGACCTCGCTGCGGTCGCCGCCTCCAGTCGCCACGCCCCCGCCGACTTCGACTCCACGAGGGACCGGCCCACGCGCCGCGCGCGCGCCGTCGGCTGGGAGGAGGAGGAGGAGGAGGAGGAGGAGGAGGAGGAGGAGGAGGAGGAGGAGGAGGACGAGGAGGACGAGGAGGACGAGGAGACGAGGAGGAGGAGGAGGAGAGGAGGAGGAGGAGGAGGAGGAGGAGGAGGAGGAGGAGGAGGAGGAGGACTGCAACTCCGAGGAGGAGGAGGACGGCTCCTGCCAGTGGACGCCAGCAGCTCATGGCCCTGGCACGCGCCCAGCTCGACGCAACCTTCGGCGACCCTGCCAGGCCTGGGAGCACGCTGCCCGGGTGCAGCTGAGAGCACGCTGCCCGGGTGCAGCCTGCGCTTTCAGACGCATGCTCTCGGCCATGGCAGTGCCATCCTGGTTTCACAGGACGGGGGGGGGGCATTCGGGCGACGAAGCTCGGGCCGCTCCGCGGCACAAGGCGCACTGTTCTGAGCAGGGGGAGCGGCATCAGCCTGTCGTGCAAGCCTCTTGTGTAGGCCCACGCCTTGTCGCAGGTCAGACAGAAACTCAGGCCCCTTCTTGGTGGGGCACACTTGATTTCTTGCGCCTGGACTGCTGAGCCCAGGCACCACACTTACTGCACAAATTTGCTGGATTCGAACAGCCTGGATCAGCAGGGGACTGCCCCCCTGGTTAACTGCAGTCAGTGTGTGCCCTAACGGTTTGCGCGCAAACTCGCCAGATACGCAGGCATGTCTCTACAACCAGTCAGGGGTTTATCATACATGTCGCTCGCAACGTACAGGCAGTTACTACACACTTCACTGGACACTGATTGGCGTGCTATGCCAATCGTACAAACCTGCGCGCTGCAGATGCACACTACGCTTAGAAGGTTTCAGACGAGTCCACCGCTCCACTTTCTCGAACAACGGCAAGATGGCGGCATCCAGTTTGATGTTTTTTGACAACAATTGCATTCCATGCGCAATCTGTGACTCGAGCTCATAAGGAAGTGGCTCATGTAGTTGAACTTGTCGCCTCGCATGAATGTTTGCAGACCGGTTAGTGTCCGTCACTTTCTTTTGTGCATCCGCCAAGTGAGAATACTGCTCAGCAGATCTGTGAGCCTTCACGTGAGTGACTGTGCGCGCATGATGAAATCCAGGCATCAGGTGTCCGGTGTCCGACCAACTGGACACTTCCATGGGGCGCTCCAGGTCGCGGCTGCTCTGCTGAAGTTTTGGCGGCCTCCGGGACGGCAGCCATGCATTCAGCGTGGACGTCGCACGGCCTGTCTGCAATTTTGCCGACGAAAGCCAGCGCCAGGTGCTCAGCCATGGTCGAACGCTGAGGAAGCGAACCAGGCACAGCTCCGAACATCGCTCGGAGGTGCTCGTCGCTCTGCGGGTCGAGGAGTACGACCGACCAGCCGGCACAGCGTGCGGCATCGAGAGGAGGGGCGGTGTACGATTTGTCGACTGCGAACTCCACGACCTGAGCGCTGTCGTCGACGATGCTGCGCATGGTCTCGGGCTCGCAATCTGCAGCGTTCCCGTCGCTGTCGAGCAGGCGGACCTGGGCGCCGTCGTTCAGCGGCGGCAGCAAGTCTTCCTTGTAGGCGAAGGCGCCTGTGGTGTAGCGCAGGTCGTCGGCGTCGTCGATCACCCCCATCGCGATCTCAGTTTCGAGGCCCAAGCCGCGCAGGCCTGGGGGTCCTGAGACGAGCCGCGCGTGCCCCCGCGCGGCACTGGATGCGGAATAGAGTTGGCCGCGGCGCTGGCACGCGCGCCGTGGCGGGCGCCGGCGGCCGCGGGAGAGGGCCGACGGGGTGCGCCGCCGCCGGGCGAGCGCGCAGAGGCCGTCGCCGGCTCGCGGCCGCAGCCCTTCGACGACGACGCCGAGGCCGAGGTCGGCCCGCAGCCGGCGCCCGTGGCCAGAGGCGCAGGGGGGGCCGAGGAGCCCGGAGCGCCCGCCTGGGGTGAGGGAGCCCCATCGTCGTTGACGGCAGCGGCAGCGGAGGCGGGCCGCGAGGCCTGGGCAGCCTCGGAGATGGCGCGGCATGCGGCCGCCAATGCGATGTCTCTATCGGCGTTGCAGCCGCTGTGGCAGAGAGCCGGCCTGGCGGTGCCGGGACATGCCCAGTCGCTCCCTGCGCAGGCGTTGCAGAGGGGCGCGGAGGCGGCGGAGCAGCCGAAGCGCCCGGCGCCAGCGCTGGATCTCCAAGCCGGAAGGAGGCCGCGAGGGAGGAGCACTCACAAGCCCTCCGAGCCAGCGAGGGGTGCCCTACAGCCTCGCTAGCTTGTTCGCAGAGGGCGCAGCTGGTGAAGACAGTGGATGCCTTGGCGGAGGCGAAAGCATGTTTGCTACGTGGATCTTTGGTCGTTGCAATCTCGCCAGCGGCCCCCCAGCCACCAGTGGCCGCGCCGCCGAGACGTGCCAGTTCGACCCGGACTTCAAAGTCGAGTGGGGGATCGAGTGCCTTGCACGCGCCGCTGCGCTGGAGCCGTTTCTCGGCCCGGAGTCGTTGCAGCCCGACTCCGCCGACCTGGTCTCCACGGAGAGCTTTGCCGGCAGGCGCCCGCAGCCGCGCGTCGTTGCCGCGGAGCCAGCCGGAGCGGCAACCGCTGCGTGGCCGGCCCAAGCAGCTGCGAAGTACCCGGGGGCGGTTTTGAGTGCGCCGCGCGGCACTTGCCTGGGGCTCTACAATAGCGAGGCGGTGTCGGCGGCGCTGTGCCGCATCTTGGTGGAGACCATGGCAAGGCGTTGGCCCCAGACGTCCGCGCGATGCAGACGCAGCTCGATGCGCTGACCCAACGCGCGCAGGACCTGATGGACGCGCCGGCGCCTCCATCCCTGGCTGGAGGCGGCGCTGGATCTGAGGGGCGCGACGCAGACGCAGCTCGACGGCATGACGCAGACCGTCGGCGACCCGAAGGTCCCAGGGCCGCTGGCCCCCGCGGAGGAGGGCAAGGCGCCGGCTCCAGCCTTTGCTGAGAGGCAGTAGCAGCTCGCCGACCTCGCCCAGCACGTGCAGGACTTGAAGGCCAAGCCGGCGCTGGCACTCCAGGGGGGCGCCATGAAGCCGGCCGCGGCCATCGATGAGATCGCGGGGCAGATCGCGCCATTGGAGGCGCGAGGGGAGGAACTCTAGCGCGCGTTCTCAATGCGTCCGAGGCGAAAGTGCTGAGACAGATCGCGCCCGAGATCCAGGCGCTCGCCGAGCATTTCGGCGCAGCTGCATCGCGGCCGGCCCCTGAGGAGGGGCCGGCCCACTAACCCCTGCCGGAGCGCGCCCAGCCGCGAGCGGCCTGAGAGGGCAGACGTCCCCGTTCATTCGCGCCTATCGTCGTTGCGTTTCGCTGTGGGCTAGCTTCTTGCCCCCTTGGGGTCAGCGGATCCCCCCCCCTGGGGGTCGGCGGATTATCGGTGCTTCCGAGTCGGGTTTTGGCGGGAAGTGGAGGGTTCGCCTGAGAGAGGCTGGCCCTCGTCTGCGTTGCCTTTCCTTGGGATGGCCCACTGAGGAGTTTGGCCAGCGCGGGTGCGCGCGCGGGGCCCCGTTGTCTTCCCGGCCCGCGCTCGTCGCCATTCGCCGCGCGTTTCCTGCGCGAGCTCGGCGCCGACTTCGCGCTCGGCCCTGACCGCGGCCGCGTCGGCCCTCATGCGCGTGTAGAGGCGGTCGGTGGTGCGCCGTGTCGAGCTGCGCGCCGCTGCAGAGGCCGTCGGCATGGTAGCCTCTGTCCTCGGCGCGGCCCCCGGCCCCTGGTCCGCAACCGCGGACAGGCGCGCGGGCGGACGAGGAGGCTCGCAAACTTGGAATGCTCCTTTGGGCGCGCTCGCACAGCGCCACGTAGAACATCATATGCGACGCGCGCGCCAGGGCGGAGGGCCCTTCTGTCGTCGAGCTGGCACTCGTGCATTCTGCGCATCGCCCGGGCTAGCAGATCCTCGAGTACCGGCAGTGTAAGTTGATCAATTTGGACCCCTTGACTTACGATGTTCCAACTTATTTTAGCTTTGACCACCAGAAAGAATTCCGAGCGCCCGAAAAATCACCCCCATACTTGAGGGTTTTCACGTGTCGGGCCCTGGGGGGCCCTCGACCGACGCTGTTTCGACACTCTGCCGACATTATTTCGACACTTGTTCGGGTGCTCGAAATTATTTCTGGGATGTGGTCCTTAAGTGCGATGGGGGCAACATAACATTTGACCAATGTGATCTCGCCACGATGTGCCGCGATGAATCGCCCAGCCAACACTTTCGATGCAATGCGCGGCCCGCTCGAGAGGACTTGGCGATTTGGCCCAGCTGAAGGTCTCTCGGTGACAGCGGAGACCCTGTAGAGCAGCAGTTCCCCCCTCAGGACGAGCGACGGCTTCCCGCGGCGTCGTGCTCCACTGCGGGGCGGGCGGGGCAGCTCGGCGAATGGCTGGGTCTCCGTCCAAGGCCAGCTTTGCTTTTGTAGACATGCCGCCATGGCGCTGTCTGGCGTGATGGCCGCATACTCGACGAAGGCCACCAAGTTCTGCATCCGCGAGCCCATTCCCTTCAAGTCCATGCGTGCAGGCGGGGCGCGCGCCAGCGCGATAAATTTGTCCAAGTCTAAGATCTTCCTGGACATGCAAGGCGTGCTGGTCTGTTCTTCCCGACTGCCGCATGCGCAGCTTGTGCTTGAGACGGCCGCTGCGCTGCTTGGCCCGAGTTCCGGGGGCGCAGCGATGGCGCTCAGCAGAATAGTCATTTCCCAGACATGACGCCAATCTCTTGACAGCAGCAGCGTTGATTTCCGGCCGGGAATCAACGGCGTTGATTTGCGGCCAGAAATCAACGCAGCCTCTGGAGAGGACTTGAAGCCGTTGGGCCACCGCTCGGGACCACAATCGCAGACTTGTCGTTGATGCGCGACCCGAGCTGCTTGGCGACCTTTGGAAAGTCGCGCCTCCCTTGCGCAGCTAGCTCGGCGCCTTCGCGAGGATCAGCGTGCCGGTTGCGAATCGCTGCATTATCAAAGTAGCTTGAGATGCCAACGGAC